ATATGGATTAGTGCTTGTGGGGCAGGGGAGGGAGAAGGCAGTGACTGCTGATGTGGACAGGGTTTCCTTTTGGGGAGAAGAAGATGCCTTGGAACTAGATGGAGGTGGGGGTTGTACACACTGAGCATGTTCTAAATGCCAGTGAACTGTACACTTTAAAATGGTTAATGTTGTTATGTGAATTTTCCTTGATAAAAAAGTGAAAGAATGGTGACTTGGACAGGATAAACACATACACCGCCCCCTCCCCCCGCCCACCATCTTTAACACTACAGTCCCTGGCTAATCCCACCGCAGCCCCTCCGGGCCAGCTTCTCTGACCCACCAGGATTTCACCAGATCATGGCACCTGCACCTGCCCTGTCTATATCCTCCTCTGAGTGAGCCCCCAAACAAGTCTCCCTTTTACACCTGGACCCTCCCTGAAGGTTCCTGGAGGTGACTCACTGGGCTTGCTGCACAGGACAGAATGGGTGGCTGATGGAATGAGCCCTGCTTGAGGGAACAAAGAGCTGACACCCAGTGTCTACACTGTGGGCAGACTCTGTGACTGCACTGGCGTGCAGATGACAAAGCTATAACTGAGAAAGTAAAGCTACCTGCCAACAGTTCATCAGCTAGCTCGGTGGAGTGGGAGCCCCCACCCTGGGTCCACCCCTTTGTGGCAGCTGGTCTGCAAGGAGGGCCCCACACACTGGGCCCCCCATTATTCATACCTCCCGCCCCTGCACACATGTCCAGGCTAACCTGGGACTCCACCACACCAACAGAATGCAGAAGTAATGCTGGCCCAGTTCCTGGAGGGCCTGAGCTTTAGAAGGTCTAGCAGCTTCAGCTCTGCCCTTAGGGGATCCTTGAGTTACAATGGAAGAAAAGTGGCCATTCCATTCAGGTGGCCTCATAGAAAGGCTCTCTGGAGAGGCCACATGGAAAGGGGTAAGGCCATCATCCCAGTTGTGCCCTGAAGGCACAGACATGACAGAGACATTCTGGATGATGATGTCAGCTAGCCCAGCCCCCAGAGGACAGCAGCCACCATCAGGTGGAACAAAAGAGCCAGTAGCCACACAAGCATAAGAACAGACACACAGATCAATGGAACAGAATAGAGAGCCCAGAAATACACCCAAACCTCTGTGGTCAATTGACTGAAGATACCAATAAGTGGTGTTGGAAAAACGACAGATAATATGCAAAAAAATTGAAACTAGACCATTTTCTTACACCATATACAAGAATAAACTCAAAATGGATTAAAGACTTAAATATAAGACTTGAAATCATAAAACTCCTAAAATAGTAAACTCTCTGACACCGCTCTTAGTATATTTTGGGGGGCGGGGTATGTCTCCTCTGGCAATGAAAATAAAAGAAAAAAAAATAAACAAATGGGACTAACACCAAACTAAAACATTTCTGCACAGCAAGGAAACCATCAACAAAATGAAAGTCAGTATACTGAATGAGAGAAGATATTCACCTTAACCCAATAAAGGGTTAATGTCCAAAATATATAAAAAACTCATATAACCTAACATCAAAAAATCAAGCAATCTGATTTAAAAATAGGCCCTGGCTAGTATGGCTCAGTGGATTGAGCGTGGGCCTATGAACCAAGGGGTTGTCAGTTCAATTCCCAGTCAGGGCACATGCCTGGGTTGTGGGCCAGATCTCCAGTGGCAGGTGTGAGGGAGGCAAGCACATGTTGATGTTTCTCGCCCTCTCTTTCTCCTCCCTCCCCCTCTCTAATAAATAAATAAATAAAGGGCAGAGGACCTGAATAGTATTTCTCCAAGGAAAACATACAGATGGCCAATAGACATATGAAAAGATGCTCCATTAATCATCAGGAAAACACAAATTAAAACCACAATGAGATATCACCTCACACCTGTTGGAATGGCTATTATCAGTAAATCAACAAACGACAAGTGCTGGCAAGGTTGTGGGGAAAAGGGAACCCTAGTGCAGCATCAGTGGGAATGCAGACTGGTGCAACCACTGTGGAAAACACTGTGGAGGGTCCTCAAAAAATAAAAAATAGATCTGCCTTATGATTCAGCAATTCCACTTCTGGTTATTTATCTGGGGAAAACAAAAACACCAATTTAAAAAGATACATGCACTATGTTCACTGCAGCATTGTATACAACAGCCAAGATATGGAAATAACCCAGGTGCCCATCGACAGACGAGTGGATAAAAAGCTGTGGTACATTTACCCAATGGGGTATTACTTGGCCATAAAAAGGAATGAAGCTTTGCCATTTGTGAGAACATGGATGATATTTTGCTCAGTGAAATGTCAGTCAGAAAAAAACAGTGTATGATTTCACCTATATGTGGGACCTTAAAAAAAAAAACAGAACAAACAAAACAAAAACAAACTCAGAGATAGAACAACCTGAGGGTTGCCAGATGGGAAGGGGGTTTGGAACTAGGTGAAAAAAGGGGAAGAGATTAAGAAGTAAAAATTGCAGTTACAAATAATCACAGGGATGTAAGTACAGCATAGGGAAGAGTCAATAATATTGCAGTAACTATGTGTGGTATTACATGGGTACCAGACTTATGGGGGATCACTTCATAAATTATATTTATATAAATGTCTGACCACTATTCTGCATACCTGAAACTAATATTGAATGTCAACTGTTAAGTGAAAAAATTTTTTTCATTGAAAAAATAAAATGATAGTAATATTTTTTAAAAAGGGGAATAGCCACCAGCCAGTCTGGAGAACAATGACAGTATGTTGATGATTGTTGGGAGCTTCTGGGCGTGTGGTGATTGGCTCCTCTGATAACTGAGAACCCATGACACCCCAGAAATATTCAAATCCTAGGTCTCTGCTTAGGTGGTGTATAACACCTGTCCCACTGCAGCTGAACATGCTCAGGCAAAGGAGGAAAACCAAAACACCTAGAAACAAGAAAACCCTGCTCTCTGAGATAACTCCTTCCTATCAGCTGTTAGAAGCCCACCACCGTTCCATCTCTTTGGCAGGACGTCTTGGCCAGCTCAGGATGCACCCAGAGGGTGCAGAGGGAAGGCCTTGTATCCCAGAAGGTGGGGCACCCCATGCTCCACTGTCAGTCAAGTCCCCCAATCTGGCTGCAGCCCACCTCCCAAGCCTCCCTCCCTCTGCCCCACAGATAACTTAGCCCCCGGCACACTGCCCCAGGCCCAGACTCCCAAACCCTCCTCAAACACCTTCCCCCATGGGGAGTGGGGTTCCAAAATCAAACTCGACCACCTCTAGGAAGCCCTCCTGGTGCCCCCACCTGCTCTTTCCCGTCCTAGCATCATGTATCAGGGGCCAGCCTACTGCCAGCCAGGCCTGGGAGCCCCAAGACCCTGCATGGGACACTGGGTGTCCCCCAGTGCTGGGCTGTGTGGGGCCAGCTGATGACAGATATCCAGTCCACCTCCAAGGATGTCAGTGAGGTCACTGCCCCACAAGGAGGCTCCTGGGGCCCTGACCAACCTGTTCAGTGAGGAGGAGGAAATGGAGGGGCCGAGCAGGGCCTCACCTTCTCACCCAGTGGTCAGGGTATATACGAGTACATTAATTGTATTTTCTGTATTCTTGATGCTCTGGCAGTTGATGTCTCCTTAACCAGGGAGGGATAGTCCATAGGGGTTAGCTAGTTCCTAGAGATAGTAAACAAACCATCTTTCATGTGCAAACCAACCAATCCAAAGCCACTATCCTTGTGCCCTGATCACCTGAGGGGCCAGGTGCCAACTAGGGACAATTGGTGTAAGCCTGACAATAAGCTTTTTGCTTGCTGAGGCATCCATTTCAAAATACATCCCTCTTTTAATTTTATTTATTTATTTTTAGAGAGACAGGGAGGGAGGAAGAGAGGGAGAGAAACATCAATGTATGGTTGACTTCTGAGTGCCCCCGCACTGGGGACCTGGCCTGCAACCCAGGCATGTGCCCTCACTGGGAATCAAACTGGCAACCCTTTGGTTCGCAGGCCAGTACTCAATCCACTGAGCCACACCAGCCAGAGCCATGACTCTTGAACAAACACAATGCTAGTCTAATGATATAGCTACTGGCAAGACAACCAGATAAGCAATCAGGCTGCTCCTAGATTCTCTTTCAGACAGCGCTGGGTGTCTAGATAACCCACAACTTGCGTAACCTTGCTTCTCCCTTCCCACACCCTAATTCCTGCTCTTATGCTTTAAGTTCACCAGTAGAGAGCCCAGACAACCCTGGATGATTCACCCTCAATCCCCAGGTCTGTGCATGAGCCTCATGGCAAGTTTAACCATGCCATATGGTCCAGAGCCTGCCCTGTTAGCTCCAGGACCCATGAGTAATAAGTCTTGTTCCTCAAAGTCCCTGATGGCTGTTGAGGTGCTTCCTGGATCATACCTAGAACCACCAGGCTGGTACAGCCCTAAGCCTGGCTCTGGTAGGGAAATGCCTGTGGGCAGCAGGAGTAACAAGGACCCGGGTGAGTGTCTCCGGCCCTCCAAGATGACGGTATCCCTGCCAACAGGCTAACACTTACACAACAGATGGTGCCCACACCAAGCCCACTGAAACTGGCCGACTAGCAACCCACACCTGCTCACCCTGCTGTGCCCACTCCTTCTGGTGGAAACTACAATCTAATGTCAATGGGCACACTCTGGCCTATGTTCCTCCCCCACCCTCTGCCTGCAAACTGCCTGAGAGCTTCCTTGAGTAGCACCCACTCCTTGTGAGGTTCAACATGCCTTTTCAATGGCAGTCCTCCCTGAGCTGCCTGATGGCCACACTGAGCAGGGAGACCCCGCAAACTCCAGGAAACAACAGCCAAACTCTGCTCTCCTTGGAGAACCTGTGAGTAATGCAGACCCTTCCACTGCCTCTGCTCAGGGTCCCAGGAAGCAGGGTGGCCAATGAGGCACCCAGGGCTGGGTACCGCATGCAGAAGAGGCTGCGGCCCAGAGCCCAAGCTGTCCCAGTGGAGACAGAGGCCCAGAGGCAGGCAGAGTTACATGAAATAACTTTAATCACCACCCTCGGATAGGGTGGGGCAGCGGCAGTGTCCAAGCAAGGGTCACCCCCACCCTGGAGTGGCCTGGGGACAACCCCTTGGTTCCAGCTGACACATGTTATCCATCCAGGCCCCCCACATTTGGGGGGGGGATCAGGCACCTGTAATCTCCAGGGTCACCTCTTCAGGAGCTCAGGTCTGCAGTTCTGTGTGGCCAGAAGAACACATGTCCAAGGGTTGGTGTGCCATCAGCCGCATGCATGTCCCCACAGCCGCCACACTCAGGGCCCCGACAATGTGACAACAAGAGCTCATCCTCAGGAGGATGAGGCAGTCCTCTCTAACAGCAGCTTCAGTGGGCTTAAGAGCCCCTTAGCACAGAGCTGGGACAGCACAAACAGGGTAGCAGCCACCAGACCTGCACTGAGCACCACTGTGGGAGACAAACAGATAGGAATGGGTCAGGCCATGGGAGGAGCCCCATCAAGCTCCCAATGCATGGGGACTGGGGTCTGCAGCCTGTCCCCTCCCCAGGGAGTGGGAGTGGGGGTCCTGTTCATCATACCGGCAGCTGTGAGAACCCCGTAGGCACTTCGACTTCTGGACTGGACTGAGTCCTGGACCCTGCCAAAGGTGGTATTCCTGAAATAGGTGACACTCTCTGGGGTCACAGGGGTCCCCACAGACATGCTTTCTTGGAGGGTCTCAGTTCCTGCAATAAGTTCAGGCATTCGTTAGTTTGGGAGGGGACACCCAGGGCACGGGAGTTGGGAGGCAGGAGATGAACAGGCTTTCAGGTGCCTAAGGGGGACCTTGAAACTCATCTTCCATCCCAGATGGGGTGAAGTTGGTGATCACAGATACCAAAAGTGACCTCTCACTGCCCCCGTGGGAATGCAGACAAGAACAGACGCCCACGTCCACGTTTCCAGCCTGGTCACACACCAGAAAGTGTCAGATGTCCTTATCTAACAACTAGCCCTCCCCACCATTACTGCTGTGATGAAGTCCCTTGGCTTATACCACAGCCAAGCTCGTCACTGGAGTCAACACAGTCTGGGTGGCCATCACACAACCATGTGGGTGGGATGCAGGTGCCATCCAGCGGGCAGCGGAGCTCCCCTGCCTGGCAGGGCTGGCTGCTGCAGTTGGGGAGGTTCTTGCAGCCATCAATGCTGTCACAGGAGCAGGGGCTGTCCATGGGTGGTGGGCACTGCTTGTCTTGGCTGCATGGCTTCTCATCTGGAATACAGGGTGAGTCAGGTCCCAAATGCCCCTACAATTCCCACGTACTCCCCACACCCCACTCTCTTGCAAACCTCCCATTTCAAGACCACACTAACTCTACCTCCCTGTAAACCCACCTCCTCTGAAGCCAGAGACCCAGACTTCTCTTCTTACAAGCCCCATCCATCCTCAGGCACTGCCCTACAGTGCCCTCTGAAAGCTACATCCCTTCCACAAGCACCGCCTCCCATGGTCCCACCCTCACAAGTCCCACCCCAGAAAGTGGCCACTCACTGCACTCCTCCTCATCGCTGCCATCGGGGCAGTCCCAGTCACCATCACAATGCCAGGCGAGGGGCATGCAGTAGCCTGTGATGCGGCATTGGAAGTGGGTGGGCAGGCATGAACCTGGGCTGGGACCTGTGAGATGTACACAAGTGAGAGCTGAGAGGCCTGAGTCTGGACCCTCTCCAGAAGTTCAGTAGTCACAGGCAAGGTCCCAGGGTGCTGGAACTACATTGGTGACCACCCTTTGCTGAGTACCTACTAAGTGTGGGGCTTGGAGTCAGAGTTCAGTCTTACCATGCAGCCTGCTAGGCAGGTTCTACTGCTATTCCCAGTCCACAGAAAACACTACAGAAAAGTAAGGCCAGAGGACCACTGGTAGACTCGGGCTTTGAACCCACATCTCACTGATCCCGGAGTCATTACCAGGCTCCAAATGGCCACAGGGTCTCCCCAAGAAGTCTCTCCTAGCTTCATGGTTAAACAGACTTGGGAGGTGCCTTCTCTTAACCTGTCCAGGATCAGGCCCATGGTCAGGGTCAGCAGGGCCCATTACATTCCACTTACTTAACAAAGGGGAACTGAGGCCCTGGGTAAAGGACCTGCCTTGCCACGCCCTCTTCCAACCATGTTTTTTGACAAGGTCTGAACATGGAAAGAGGGTATTCAAGGAATCCATCTTCTGGAAGAGAGTGTGGCATACAAAGTGGGGTGGTAATTTTTCTGGGGATTGCTTTTAATAATTTCCTTCCTAATATTAATCATGGTCTTATTTTGTACCCTGATTCCCATAAGAACAGGCCATGAGAAAAAAAAGTCTCGAAGAGAGTCAACGATTAACTTTGAGGGAAATTCTGAAGGGACAACTAGTTCTCCCTAGACTATTGAATCCTGCCCAAATTGTTCTAAACAAGGTGTTCATAAACCTGAGTAAGAAACTATCCCCGATTGTTCCCATAAAAGAATTCATGAATCAGTTACAATAGGTTGAATTATTGGCGGACTTTCCCACACCTTTTCCTTACCCATAGATACAAAGTCTTTCAAGAAAACAAGAAAAAACTATATAGACCCCTTCCCACAGCCCAAAGATACCCCTGGGTAGCATATTAGATTATTGGCAAATTATGGTATCCCCCAAAAGGAGCTAATCGTCTCCAGAGGGTTCCAGATCTCCCATTGCCTTATACAGGAGCATATAATGAGGATGGCATTAGAATGATCAATAAGGATGAAGTCCAAGTGCCTTATAATAGTCTAAATTTCATGGAAAGGCTAGCTTGAAGCAGACCTCCCTGGTGTTTATTAACTAAGGAACAAAAAGGGTTTACTGTAGCTGAATTTCCTGTTTATCTCTCCTTACACGTTTGTTTTGGTGATTAAAAGGTGGTGGGATTGTCAGACATCTGTATTTCAGGTTTATTAATTCGCATAATTCCAATGAAGTTGTATAAAATAATTTCTTGACCAGAGAATAAAATCCCCTCTAATGAAATAGCCCCTGAATGTCTAAAAGTTGTTGGAGTAACAGCCCCACCTTTACCTTGAATAGGAATATATATCAAGTAGAATTAGACAGGCAAAGAAATAAGAAAAGCTGGTTAACTATTATAAATTAAGCATGTAGAAACAGTTACCAGGGAGTCAGAGTCCATGGTACATAGAGAAATATTTTAGACAGAAAAGATAAATAGCTAAGTTAGACATCACAAAGGCCTTATAATAAATTTCCTATAACCTCTATTCAATTTAGCATATCCTTTTGCCCCATGACAAATTCTGAGAACTTTAATAAACAATAAGATATTCAAATTCTGTACGTACAGCTATTTTTAATTGTCTGATTTATGGCTCTCCTGGTCAAAATAATCTTTGTTTAATATAATTGAATCTATGGGAATTTTTGTATTTTTCCTGGTTACCTTTGTATTGATTTTTTTCTGCTTCACCTAACCGCACAGGTCAATCACTGCTAAAAATGAAAGTATAAAAACCTGCTTGTACTTGCAATAAACGGAACAGAGCATCACTGTCCTCTGAGGCGTACTGTCATCTGTCTCCCATTGCCGATGCCTTACATCGGGGTTCCTTTCAGGAACCCCTGGACCTAGCTGCGGCTGGACCGCAGCACTGCTTCATCACAAAGCTTTGTTGACTGAGCTCCCAAATTCCTCCCAGATCTGACCACTTGCCCTGAATGTGCCACCTCCTTACCAGGCCCCCATCCCTATCTCCATTCAAACACTGGGACCTCTCAGAGTCACATCATTTGTCACCCACGCTCACCTGCCCTCTGCTCAAAGCCACCCCCTAGTCCCCCAACCCTCTCGCAATAAAATCCTACCTCCTCCATGTGACCTGCAAGGCCTAGGCCAGCCCTGAACCCTTCCTGGAACCTCATCTCCCCCCACATTCTCCTCCTCCCCAAGCTTCCGGTCCTGGCTGCCTCCCTGCTTCTCCAAGGGCTGGGCTTATTCCAGACCAGGCCTTTGTCAGTGCTGCTCCCTGGCCCAGTACACTCTTCTCCCTTTGGTTCCTGGGGATTTCCTCCTCAGTCTTCAGATCTCAATCTATTTCCTGGTAGGGGCCTCATGCCCCTCTCAGAGATCCCTGAGGCTCTGCTTCCCACTTATATATAACAATGGCCCCACTTATATATAACAATGGTCCTTAAACTGATATGGAATAGATTGGACACTCAGTGTGTCAGGACCAAGACCTGTGACTGAAAGCCCAGGGTAGTGCCTGATAATAAATGGACACAGATCACACTGGGATGAAATCTGAGCCTTCTTGGACCCCCCACAGTGAGGCTTGGGCTGTATGCTGATCTGGAGGAGCACAGATGGAACTGGAACCTGAGCCAGCAGGCAGGAATTTGAGGGACAGAGCAAGGGAGTGAGTTTTAGGCTTCCTCTTGGGTGCAGCAAGACAGGTGGCCAACACCTGGCTTGGCCCCAGCCTAGTCCCACTCCATTTGATACTGGTCTGCTTGCCCCTTTCACTTTAACTCACAGGGGCCTGAACCTCCAAAAACCCCACTCTCCACAGCTGGCCCCTCTGCAGACCCCCAGACCCAGGTGCAGCTATACACCCAGTCCTTGAGCTCAGTGGAGCCCAAAAGAGCTGTAGACAACCCGGAGCCAGTGTCCTTCCCTGCCCATGAAGGAATGGTGGCCTCGAGGCTTGGCTTGCTTCCCAGGCCTAGCCAGTCTTGGCCTGGATGAGCAATGACCTCTTTCCCTGGCCTACTGGAGTGTGTGTCCCTATGTAAAGTGGGCAGCAGACTTGATCCCACCTTGTAAATCTGGGGGTATCAGACAGTTGAAGTGACTAATGACCTCCTCTCCCAGCCTGTTTTCTCATCTGTAAATGGGGCAGTTAGGAGTCCTTACCTCAGGATCCTGAGGAGACTGCTTTTGTGTAAAGCGTTTGGTACTTAGTTAACATGAGTCCTGCCTTCCTTGAAGGAACATTTAACCTGAAAAGGGCAGGGACTGGCACACTCGCCCTCTCAGGAGCACACCTGCACCTTTCCTTTCCATCACTTCTTCCCCACAGGTGCCTTACCTTCCCCTCTCCTTCTCTTAAGCTCCAAGGGCCCCTCTGGTGTTTCTGTAACTTGTTTGCTGAGCCTACGCAGCCCAGCTGGCTTCCTTCCACTACCTCTGTAATTTTCTAAATAAGCTTTCCCTTATAGTTAAGAAGAAAAGAAAGAAAAGAGAGAAAGAAGGAATAGAAAGGAAAGAAAAGGAAGGGACTTAGGGGTGGGATAAGGGACCAGATAAGAGGGGAACCCACGGAGGAGCGAGTTAAGTGAGTGAACCAGAGCTCACACCTGAAAGTCAGGAGCACACAACGTGGTCACTCAAACCCTCCCAGCTGCCTCTGGGAACCTCAGAAACTGCCACTAACATCACATAGGCCAGGGGCCACAAGAAGGGTGACCTTTCTAAGGGCGAAGGAAATAGTAAGTGCAGATTTGGAAGGAGGTAGGGGGATGGTTGCACAGGAAACAGCCACGTGACCTCGGCTCAGATGCGAGGGTTTGGAAGGCAGGCTGCTGAGAGAGGTACCAGGTACCAGGTGACCGGTCCTGCAGTATTAGAGGTCAGACAACCAGAGCCTACAGCGACCCTTCCAGCCCACGCTGGGCTGAAGGGGCGTGGGCTGAAGGGCGTCTTTAAGGTAACGAAGGGTCACAACAAAGCAGAGCAAGTGCCGGGTGTGAGCAGGGCCAAGCAGGGTGGTTAAAGGCAGCCGGTGGATTCTTCCATTGGTGAAGGCTAGCACAGCCGCCCGGCTATGGAGTCAACAGCCACATATAGAAGTGTCCAGGACAGACTAGCTGCGCAGCGAATGGGGAGGCGGTGCCGGCGCGCAGGGATGAGGCCAGGCTCCCAGCCGGACGGACGCGTGGGCTGTGTGGACCTTACTCACCTGGGGTCTGGGCCGGGAACTGGGTTGGGGCAGCCTCCAGGCCCAGCCCCAAGCCGAGCAGCAGCCGCAGCACCAGGCCCAGAACCACGGTCTGCTCAGGTCCCCGCATTGCCATCCAGCCACTCAATGTGCCTCCCCAGCTCAACGCCAACAGAGCGCAGTCAGGGCCGTGTTAATCCCAGCGCCCGCGTGAGTACAGGCTGGGGGCGGGGCCCGGGCCGAGAGGGCCTGGGGGCGGGGCCCGGGCCGAGAGCGCCAGCTGGGAAGCCTACCGTAAATGCCCGAATAGGAGGAGTCCCGTGATTTGAGGTTCTTCCGATCTTTTCCCAGTGACACGGTGTAGCGAAATATAAGGGGGAGGAATGGAAACGAACTCGTCGGTGTCTGCTCACATTTAACATTCTCTGTGCATCCTGCAGCAAATGTACTGCCTAATTATTTAACACGGCAGCCACTCCCCTCAGACACGTCCCACCTCCCCTTCCCACTGCTTCTTTCCTGCACCCTACACAGTATATACTTTATTTCCATGTTTTGGTTTAGTGTTTGATCCTCCACTGAAATGACATGCCCAGGAGGGCAAGAATGCTGTTTTTGTGTCCGCAGTGTCTAAGACAGTAGTAAGCTATTAATATAGACCTTGGCTTCCATCCCCGGTCCTGTTCCTGACACCTGGATACGCTCACCCATGCTCGCTGCCTCCAGTAGTCCACATGTACCCCCCTCAATAGGGAAGTATTAGTCCTCACTTTGGGAACAAGGTATGTGAGGACAACCCTTGGGGTTTCACTTCTCACACTCACCCAGGAGGCACATAAAATAACGAACCAGCAGGCGTTCTAGCCAATTTGGCTGCTCAGTTTTCTTCTTGAAAATATTTTTACCTACAGCTCTGCCTTCAGAAGCAGCACGTGCAACTGCTGACAAGACCCCATGGAGCCAAGTCACTGTCTTTCAGCGTTATAACTAATGCGGAAGTACTCACCACCCCCCAAGTTTCCTGGGAAGCCACACTAAAGAATACAGGTTTTTGCAGAAGGGGCTCTATTTGCAGATGGATGGCACACTCCACTATCTGAAAATGTTGGAGGTTATAGCTGCTTTTGGAATATTTATATTTTCTGAAAATAATCTCCCAGTTTCCCAGGGAAAATGGTGTAAGAAGCAAAGGTGCAGAGGCAGGTGGGAACGGTGCAAATAGGATTGTGGAGTCGAGGTAAAGGGCACCCAGGCTTAGAGGCTCAGCATCTTGGTAAGGGAGACAGCTGGTGTCCAGGGAGAAAAGCTGAAGCCATCCCTGGACTCTCCGAGCCTCAGTTCTACTGTGGAGGTCTGACAGGAGCACTGACCTCACAGGACTGAAGGAGCTGAGATCCTGGATAGGAAGCATTCAGAACAGCACCTAGCACACGGGAAGAGCTCAGGTGTCAGCCCTCTCTCCTCTACTGCCTTGCAGAACTTCAAGTCTGGGTCATTAAACTATTCTGAAACCTTCAGTGGCACACCCGGGGTCTTCTGAAGCCCCTCAGGGTTGCCCTCCTTGTGGTTTCCACACCCTGCTCAACCTTCTTTATCTTCCTGAATTGATTCATCTGCCCCAGTCAGAACCCCACCTCCTCCAGGAAGTCTCCCAGGGGCTTGAGCCTGTGGAGCTCTCTCCCTCTGTTGAGCTTTGAGCTTTTAGTATTTGAAATGCCCACTCTGGGACACTTATACCTCCTGCCTGGGGCTGAGACCTTTTCTTGCCCTGCCTTGCTCCCCACTTCCCTCTCCTGGCACACAGCTGATCTCAACCTACTAAAGGCTGCGGGTTCTCTCAGGGGGCAGCCATGACACATATCCCCACTGGTCACTTCCTTTTGGCTTTGACTCTCCTGCTCATTCCTCCAAAGTCACAGGCCCTTTCCTTTCCTTGGCTGACACTGCCTCACCACCCCTGCCCTCCCACCCCAGGTCCCTCAGGCCCTGAGCATAAAGGTTTCTGGCTCAGGGAGGCCTTTCCTCACCTGCCTTAGGTGAGCCTTACTGGTGAGCCACCTTGCTCTCCTCTTGCTTTCCCTGCTGAGCTGCAGGGTGATCAAAGTCAGACAGGAGCCACAGTGGGAGGGTACTGGCCAATGTCCATACAAGCAATGGAGGGAAAAGCTCTGGAGAGAGAGATAAGTGAGCAGTGTGTTTGGCCCTGCTGTCCTTCACAGTCAGAGTCTCCTAAACTCCCTGGACCCCAACCCACCACTCTCAGGGATAGACTCAGGCCCTTGGGCAAGGGACGGAGACAACTCTGGGCCTCCTGCACATGTCATCCATCTCTGTGACACATGTTACCTAGGAGCCCAAGAATCACTCACTACCCATCCCTGACCCTGGAGCGCTTAGCACCAACTTGGCCTCAAAATCCAAGTAAACCTAGTGTCGCCTTAGAAGTAAAAATATAAGTGATACTGGAGATCATGATATATTTGTCATAAATTAGGTCACACTCCCTGGGAGGGATGACAAGGAGGGGAAGCACTCAGGTGGCTGAGGGCACAGACAGGTGGTCCAGAGCAGTGTCACAGGTAAGGCTGGTCTTGGGACAGCTCCCACCTCTGTAGGGGAGGAGCTGGTGTCACTGCTTTCTTCTCAGTGGCTGCCACAGCTGAGCTGAAAGAAGAATAAAATCTTACCATTTGCAACAACATGGATGGACCCAGAGTGTTATGCTCAGTGAAATATCATGCTCAGAGAAAGATAAGTACCTTACGATCTCACTTATATGTGGAATCAAAACAAACAAACCCAACAAGTTTACAGATACAGAGAACAGATTGGTGGTTGCCAGGGGTGGAGGGTGGTAGGCAGACAAAGGGGGTTAAAAGGTACGAACTTAAATTTATGAAAATAAATTAGCCCTGGGGATATAATATACAGCATGGGGACTACAGTTAATAATACTGAACTGTATATTTGAAAGTTGCTGAGAGAGTAGATGTTAAGAGTTCTTATCACAAAAAAAATTTCACCTATGTGAAATAATGAATGTTAAGTAGACTTATTGTGGTGATCACTTTGCAATATATAGATATCAAGTCATTATGTTGTACACCTGAAACTAATGTAATGTTTTATGTCAATTATACCTCAATTTTTTAAAGAAAGAATACAAACTTACAAAACAACAATGTCTGGGCTTCTCCCAGGCCTTTGAAGGAACCCTGGCCCTTCTTCTGATGTGCAGATCTACCCCCGACTGAGGCCCTAATCCTGACTCAGCTATGTGGGGAGCAAATGAGTTTGCAGATGAAAGAAAAGCCTCTGTCCCCACCACAGCTGATGCTCCTGATGGTCAACAAATGGGACCCTGAAAAGCAGAAGCAAGAGAGAGGCCTGGCTATAGAAGGGGTGTGTGGTATCCTCACCTCTCTGCTGGCTTGCCTGACTCCAGGGCCTTCTGTGAGGACATGACCACCGAGGGTGGCGTGGCTTCCCGGCGGCCGTCACGAGTGCAGTAGTAATTGTTGGAGAGCTTGTGGCTGGGGCCCACAGGGAGTCTGGGAGGAGGCTGAGTTCTGAGGGAAAGGACATGGGCATTAAAGCAAAAGCCGTAAGTGTTCTCACTGCCTGGCTGAGAAGGGCCAGTCACCTGAGTCACTGGGACAGACTACAGACCAGGAGTATCCCTTGGTTTGGAGGGACATGCGTAGAGGAGCCAGAGCCTAGAAGCAGGTGGCAGCCCAGGCTTTGGATGTGAATGTACTGAATGGTGATGTCTGGGCCTGCCCCACTGTGGGTCCCCTACCTGCCCCAAATGTGGTGGGTAGGGTGAAACCCATGGAAGGGGCAGGCCCAGACTGAACACCTGGGCCTGTTCCCACCCCACCATGACCCAGAGCTTGGCAGCTGGCCTCACTTCCACCTGCAGATGCTCAGGAAATGAAGAAGCCAGGCTCTGCCCACCATCTATCCAGTAGTTAGTCAGTAAATGCTTGGGCAACAAGCTCCAAACATAGCTCATTCTGCAGGGATTCCTCCCCAAAGGCTGACCACAAAACTCCTGGGTTTCCTGCTATCTCAGGAACTCTCTGGGGAACCCTGCTGGGATCAAGGCTTATTACTCAAAGAACACTTTGTACCCCAAACCTCCCAGGCCTAGGTATTTCCTGCTACCTCATGGTGGCTGCAGCCAGAGAGGGGGTGAACAGAGCTCTGTCCTGGCCTAGGGTAAACCCTGGGTGAATTTCAGAAAATAAACTTTATGTCTGATAATATTTTCACCAAAATTTAAGTATTTCTTAAAACAAGTGATAGTCACATACTTTTAAAAAAAGAAATAGAGATAAAAATAAACTTAAAAAATTTAACACTCCAAGTAATATCCTGTGTGGACATTCTAATTTCCTTAATCCCTGGAATGCAGACAGATCCTCTATAGGAATGGCCACAGCTTTCAGCAAGTAGCACAGAAAAGGTATAAAGAACTAGTGTTGAGCTTTGCACAGTGTGGCATCATAACCAGTGAGGTTTAGCAGAAGCATGAGTGTTGCTAATTTGGAGGAAAAAAACAACAAAGAAACAAAACCCAGCACCCAACAGAAAGGCCCCAATAATCACTAGTGGGCGCCATTATCCTAAAGAAGCTGAAGTTTACAAAACCCTTTCCTCAAGGGGCCTAAACCCTGGATTGAAAAGCAATTCAAAACTTCTGATATTGGGAATTAGTCACACCATGTAAGCATTCACATAAATTTGGTTATTTTAATGCTATTTCTGCCAACTCTCCCAGGCTGCCTTACCTTTGCCTGCGACTGACTTTATGTATTGCTATCCCCCTTTCCTCCACGTATTTCAGCCACAGGGGACTCCTTCCTACTTCTGGCTCTGCTTGGCCTCACAGCTTTGTATTTACAGTTCCCGCTGCCCAGAATGTCTTTTCAATAACTATCCTTTGTCTCCTCATCGTTCAGGTGAATCAAATGTCAATTCCTGAAGAGACTTTTCCTGACCACAGAACCAGAAGTAGCCACCCTCCAGATTACTCGTTAGTTTTGCCTTCAGAGCATTCCAGAATGTCTTTTGTCCCGTGTTTATTTCCTACTGTTTGTCTCTCCCAAGGATATGAAGGAATGAGGTCAAGAACTTTGCACTCGTATCCCCAAGGAAAAGAAATGACAAGGGCTTGTAAATATCAAACATTTGGGGACATAAATGAGTTTGAAATCAAGAC